CTACTGGGTAAATAACAAAATTAAGGCAGAAATAAGTAAGTTATTTGAAACCAATGAGAACAAAGACACAATGTACTAGCATCTCTGGGACACAGCTAAAGCAGTGTCTAGAGGGACATCTATAGCACTAAATGCCATAAGGAGACAGTGAGAAAGATCTAAAATTGACTCCTGAACATCACAATTAAATAGAGAAACAAGAGCAAACAAAATCAAAAGCTAGCAGAAGACAAGAAATTACGAAGATAAGAGCAGAACTGAAGGAGATAGAAATACAAGCACTGCCTCCCCGCCAAAAAAAAAAATCAATGAATTTAGGAGCTGGTTTTCTGAAAAGATGAACAAAACAGGCCACTAACCAGACTAACAAAGAAGAAAACAGAAGAAGAAAAAAGAAGACACATTAAAAAATAATACAGGGGAGATCAGCCAGGTGTGGTGGCTCAGGCCTGTAATCCTAGCACTTTGGGAGGCTAAGGCAGGTGGATCATGAGGTCAGGCGTTCAAGACCAACCTGGCCAACATAGTGAAACCCCATGTCTACGAAAAATACAAAAATTAGCTGGGCATGATGGCAGGCACCTGTAATCCCAGCTAATCAGGAGGCTGAGACACAGAATTGCTTCAATCTGGGAGGTGGAGGTTGCAGTGATCCAAGATCACGCCACTGCACTCCAGCCTGGGCGATGGAGTGAGATTACATCTCAAAAAAAAAAAAAAAAAAAAAAAAAAAAAATCACCACTTACCCTACAAAAATAGAAACTACCATGAGAGAATGGTAGAGGTACCATAAACACATCTACAGAAATAAACTAGAAAATCTAGAAGAAATAGATAAATTTCTGGACACATACACACTCCCAAGGCTAATCAAAAGTGAAGTCAAATCCCTCAATAGAGCAATAACGAGTTCAGAAATTGAGGCAGAAATCAATAGCTTGCCATCCAAGAAAAGCCCAGGACCAGACAATTCACAGCCCAATTTTAGCAGAGGTACATAGAGGAGCTGGTACCATTCCTTCTGCAACTATTCCAAACGATAGAAAAAGAGGGACTCCTCCCTAACTCATTTTATGAGGCCAGCATCGTCCTGATACCAAAACCTGGCAGAGACACAACAAAAAAACAAAATTTCAGGCCAATATCCATGATGAACATCAATGCAAAAATCCTCAATAAAATACTGTCAAAGCAAATTCAGTAGCACACTAAAAAGCTTATCCATCACAATCAAGTCTGCTTCATGCTTGGGACGCAAGGCTAGTTCAATGTATGCAAATCAATAAATGTAATCCATCATATAAGAAGAACCAATGACAAAACCACATGATTATCTCGATAGACACAGAAAAAGCCTTCAATAAAATTCAACAACCCTCATGCTAAAAACAATAAACTAGATACTGATGGAATGTATCTCAATAAAAGCTATTTATGACAAACCCACAGCCAATATCATACTGAATAGGCAAAAGGTGGAAGCATTCCCTTTGAAAACCAGCACAAGACAAGGATGCCCTCTCTCACCATTCCAATTCAACATGGTATAGGAAGTTCTGACCAGCGCAATCAGGCAAGAGAAAGAGATAAAGGGTATTCAAATAGGAAAAGAGTAAGTCAAATTATCTCTATTAGCGATGACATAATTGTATACTCTGAAAACCCCATCATCTCAGCCCAAAATCTCCTTAAGCTGATCAGCAACTTCTGCAAAGTCTCAGGATACAAAATCAATGTGCAAAAATCACAAGCATTCCTATACACCAGTAACAGACGAAGAGCCAAATCATGAGCAAACTCCCATTCACAACTGCTACAAAGAGAGTAAGATACCTAGGAATACAACTTAAAAGGGATGTGAAGGACTTCTTAGAGGAGAACTGCAAACCACTGCTCAAGGAAATGAGAGGACACAAACAAATGGAAAAACATTACATACTCATGGATAAGAAGAATCAGTATCATGAAAATGGCCATAATGCCCAAAGTTTATAGATTCAATGCTATTCCTATCTAGCTACCACTGACTTTCTTCACAAAATTAGAAAAAACTACTTTAAAGTTCATGTGGAACCAAAAAAGAGCCCATATAGCCAAGGCAATCCTAAGCAAAAAGAACTAAGCTGGAGGCATCAAGATACCTGACTTCAAACTATACTACAAGACTATAGTAACCAAAATAGCATGGTACTGGTACCCAAACAGATATATAGATCAACTGAACAGAACAGAGGCCTCAGAAATAACACCACACATCTACAACCATGTGATCTTTGACAAACCTGACAAAAACAAGCAATGGGTAAAGAATTCCCTATTTAATAAATTGTATTGGGGAAACTGGCTAGCCATATGCAGAAAACTGAAACTGGACCACTTCCTTACACGTTATACTAAATGTAACTCAAGATGGATTAAAGATTTAAATGTAAGACCTAAAACCATAAAAACCCTAGAAGAAAACCTAGGCAATACCATTGAAGACATAGAAGCAACTGCTTTTGACAAATTGACAAATGGGATCTAATTAAACTAAAGAGCTTCTGCACAACAAAAGAAACTATCATCAGAGTGACAGGCAACCTACAGAATGGGAGAAAATTTTTGCAATCTATCCATGACAAAGGGCTAATGTCAAGAATCTACAAGGAATTTAAACAAATTTACAAGAATAAAACAAATGACCCCATCAAAAAGTGGGCAAAGGAATGAAAAGACACTTTCCAAACATTTACGCGGCCAATAAAACATGAAAAAAAAAGCTCATCATCATTCATCACTAGAGAAATGCAAATCAAAACTACATTAAGATACCATGTCACACCTGTTAGAATAGCAATCATTAAAAAGTCAGAAAACATGCTGGAGAGGATGTGGAGAAATAGGAACACTTTTACACTGCTGGCAGGAGAGTATAAATTAGTTCAACCATTGTGGAAGACAGTGTAGCAATTCGTCAAGGATCTGGAACTAGAAATACCATTTGAACCAGCAATCCCATTACTGGGTATATACCCAAAGGATTATAAATCATTCTACTATAAAGACACATGCACACACGTTTACTGCGGCATTATTCACAATAGCAAAGACTTGGAACCAACCCAAATGCACAACAATGATAGACTGGATAAAGAAAATGTGGCACATATGCACCATGGAATACTATATAGCCATAAAAAAGAATGTGTTCTTGTCCTTTGTAGGGACATGGATGAAGCTGGAAACCATCATTCACAGCAAACCAACACAGGAACAGAAAATCAAACACCATGTGTTCTCACTCATAAGTGGGAGTTGAACAATGAGAACATATGGGCACAGGGAGGGGAACATCACACACCGGGGACTGTTGGGGATTGGGGGACAAGAGGAGGAACAGCATGAAGAGAAATACCTAACGTAGATGACAGGTTGATGGGTGCAGCAAACCACCATGGCACATGTATATGTATGTAACAAACCTGCACATTCTGCACATATATCCCAGAAGTTAAAGTATAATAACAATAATAAATAGACTTGCCTATAAAATTATACCTTTGACTATGAGGGAATAGAGGTAAGGATTGAATTCTGGTATGTTCATATAAATGAACAACTGCTCTGTGTCTACTTCTTAAGCTGGCAGAAACGCAAAGTTGTTATCAAAAATCAGCCCCTACCTTTAAGGAATTTATAGTTTGCTTTGGAAAATAACATATAAAACAATGCACTGTGAGCACTAATGTTACAAGGAGCAGATAACAGTTGAACTTGATATGAGAAGTGCCTGTCGTTTCCTTTCCGATACACCAGTCCCCATTTTATTTAGGGAACCTCTCATGCTCCCTTCTCATCCACTCCCTCAGCCCAGTCGACTAAGGGAGTAGACACCAATCTCCAGGCCAAATTAACTGCACCAGGATGGATAGCTTGCCTAAACCAGGTCAGTTACTTTCCCAGGAAATGTACTGGAACTCCAGGGACTCTTGTTTATCTCCACTGGCTGCCTAAACTGTTAGATAATATAATCAGGCTTATGGGCAGGAATGAGTGAAGGGCAAGTAAGAGAAAAAATTTTGAAAAAGAAAAGATGCAGAAGTAAGAAACAAGCAAACAACCAGCCTCAGAAAAGGTGTGAGAAGAGCTGCTTTGGTCATTCAGTGGCTGTTTTCACTCTCAAGTAACTGCACTTTCCTTCATTTTTACTCTATAATAAATCTCTGCCCTATCCAATAACTAAGTTTCTACTTAAGTCTGTTGGGGTGGGAACAATTCTTGCAAACAAATCATTCCTAAAACATAGATGCAGAAGAAAAGGAAAGGCATCTTGACATCAGGTAAGAGCACAACCTAAGATATAGTGGTAGAAGGAAGAACATGCCATGTAAGACAATGCAATGTAAGGAGAAATGCAAAGTTAAAATGGATGATCTGAAATATATGCCTAATTATGGAAATCTTAACCAGAGGAATTTGACATGGATACTGTCATTGCTAGGGGTTCATTACAGGTTCTGGAGTAGAGCAAATTTCATCATAAAAGTGGTATTTTAGGAAGATCATTCTGTAAGTGCTGCATTGAAAAGAGAACCCTCAAGTCATGGAGGTGGGCAAATTATTAGAGTAATTGTGGTATGGGATGGAAAAGAGACCAATGCAAGTTCATTTTAAGGAAAGAAATGACAAAGGAGCCTTCTGAGAAATGTTAGATACGTAATGAAGCATATTCTATACATCAGGTAAGAGAAAGGAACTGACTATAACTTACAATTGTACATAAAGACCTAATGTTAAAAAACTTCATTCATGCCAATATCATAGAAAATATCCAAAAGACTTCTACCAGTTATATTGATATTATGTCTATTATACAATACAAAGCATTCTATGTTACATAGCACAATAGCTATTATGATAGAATTATGCTTACAGCTGATGAACAGGCACCATTAACATGTCTATTTAAAGAAACGGTTGCAATAACTTTGAGACTCAAACCTGAAATACAATTTACCTATAGTGGAGCATGGAATTGGCTGTGCATTGCAATTGCCTGCTGAAGTTTCTCTTCCTTGGCTCTTCTACAGTGGCAAATCTGGAAAATAAATTTTTAAAAATACCAGTCACTTTTCCAAAGATATGCCTACTACTTTACTTCCTAAAGTATGACAGGAATATTCTAACTTGTTGGCATTATTTTAAGTTTTGAAAGTTGAAGATCGCTAATAATCTAATAGCTAAAATTGTTAGATTATGAGCTGATTCATTTCATTAGCACTAATGTTACAAGGAGCAAATAACAGTTTGAATGGGTCATGACAAATGCCTATCATGTCTTTTCCTGTACTCCAGTCCCTGTTTTAGGGAACCTCTCATGCTCCCTTCCCATAATCCACTCCCTCAGCCCAGCTGACGGGGCAGAGGACCACATGACACCGATTCATTTTGAATTAGCTAATAATCTAAGAATTCGGTGTTGAAGATAGCTAATGAATATTAGCTATTCAAACTGAATGTTGAAGACAGGTAATGTTGAAGACAGCTAAGAATTTAATAATGAACAAAACAAAACAAAACAAAACAAAACAAAAACACATGCTTGGAAGTCAGCCTTTGCCTGATGGCTTCTAGAATGTAAAACAAACACTGATCCTTTATATCAATTATCTGACTACATAACTTTAAATATCTAAGTTTAAAAAGTATGGACATAAGTTCTGCTACTGTTAACCAGGAAGATTAACAGATACAAGCTTCAAGGCACAATTATATAACATTAAAGAATAAAAGACCAGAAATCAATGCCCTACTAATAACTATAACCATAGGCAAGTCACTAAAATCTCTGAACCTCAATTTCCTCTCATGAAAAATGGGAATGATAAAAACCACACCCATCTGCCTTAACAGGAGTGAGTGTTTGAGTGTGTGTGTGTGTTTGTGTGTGTATGTGTCACAGTTGTTTCATACAGTTTACTAAACACAAGATTATTTTTAAAATGTGATTATTTCAGACAAATTAGGTAAACAGTTTGGACTGTATTAAAAGGCAAGAAACTATTAAGCAGACTTTTTTGGATTTTTCTTTAAACACAACAGAAATATTAGAATAGAACAGAAACTGTTTCTCAATTTTAAAAAATGTCTTTTATAATCCCTATAGATAACTGTCTAAACGAGTGGTAAAACAAATCATTGAAGAATAGATTTCAACTATTAAGACTAGACTTGGATTTATGAGCTGCATTACAGAATGTAAAAGATACTACCATTTCTGAAACGGAACTATTTGATTTACCTGCTTGTATACTCAGAAAAGCAAGTCTGAAGTGACAGGAGGATGCTGTGATCATTCTCAAGAGGCTTTTCAGATTCCTTTCACAGCACTCAAAACTCCAGCTCAGTAATGTGCTGTTTTTCACTAATGAGTATGCTAAAGTAATTTGATATTATGCTGTCAAAAAAATTGTTTTCTTCTAGATCAGCACAAAGTTTATTAGCCATTTCTGCTCAGAAGAGCCCCTTTCTGACCAGGACTATTCCTCTGACAGACAGGAAACAGCCACATGTGCAGGCCCTCACTTTCATTTATACCAACTCACATCAAAAGGACATCTTGGAGCAATGGCAGTTGCCTGTCCCCCTGGGTTCCCTGGGAACAGCTAAGGTGTGAGGCCGTCTAGAGTCCCATGACAGACCTTCAAAGTTTTAAGTTCCAGGAACTTGGTTTTTGCCCATGTCCACACACAAGGCATGGAAACCTTCCTTTCAGGTAAATAATCTATTGTACGAAAAACGGGGATGATATAATAGAGAAATAGCTAAGACCCAGTGCTTCTCCTCCTCTAGACTTTATCCAATATTTGTCCTCAACTGAAGAGTATTACATACTGTTCTCTTTTCCATGAAGCTACTGAGAAAATCATCTATTTCCATTTTTCCCTCCAAGAAGTCTTCTGCAATATTATCAGATTCTTCCTCAGCTTCATGTGCAGCTACTTTCAATCTTGCCTGTAGGGCACTTGCACTACAGCTCTGAAAAAGAAAACCAAGCACTACTTTAATTTGTGATACATACAAGAATTACTCACAGGGAAAGGAAGTGAGGTAGTGGTATGGAGAAACTATTATATGCATTATATAACCTCTTTTTGAGAAAATCTGCTATGTTATAATGCCGCACCCACGTCTTTAGCTTTTGGATAGCAGTAGATACCTAACTCAAGAGAAACCAATCTATTGGCTGCAAACTACTAAAGGAGAGAAACTGGGCAAATCACTGTTCTTTCCTAAGGATTTAGGAATTAGATACCTGCTAAGGTAGATACTTGCTAAGGAGACCACTAATGACCTCACCTCCTGGTATTCCTGCCCTTGCATAATCTCACCCTTGGATGTGGGCTGGACCTGATGACTCATTTTTAATGAATAGAACAAGGATAAAATGATGGGATTAAATTTCACTGAAGTAGTGAAAGACTGGTACACAGAAAACTGTAAGATACTGCTATAAGAAACTGAAGACATAAGTTACTGGAAAGACATCCCATGTTTGTGGGTTGAAAGATTTAACATTCTTGAAAAGACATTACTAACCAAAGCAATCTACAGATTCAATGCAATCCCTATCAAATCTTGATGGCATTTTTGGCAAAAACAAAAAAACCCATCCTAGAATTCTTATGGAATCTCAAGAGACCCCAAATAGCCAAAACCACCTTGAACAAAGATGATTAATATTTCCTGATTTCAAGTTACTACAAAGTTACAGTAATCAAATCTGTGGTACTGGCATAAAAACCTAAAGAACAATGGAACAGAATAGAGAGCCCAGAAATAAACTCTCACATATACGGCCAAATGATTTTCAACAAGAGGACTGAGTCCAGTTAATGGGGAAAGGCCAGTCTTCAACAAATGGTGCTGGAAAAAACTGGGTATCGACAAGCAAAGGAGTGAAGATGTATCCTTACCTTACTTAAATACAAAGATTGATTCAAAATGGATCAAAGACCTAAATGTAGGCACTAAAACTATTTTTAATAATAGCAATCTTGCTGGGTATCATTGCCCATGCCTGTAATTCCAGCACTGTGGGAGGCCGAGGCAGGCAGATTACTTGAGCCCAGGAGTTCAAGACTAGCCTGGGCAACATAGCGAGACCTTGTCTCTACAAAAAATACAAAAATTAACCAGGTGTGATGGCACGCACCTGTAGTTTTGGCTACTTGGGAGGCTGAGGTGGGAGGATCGCTTGAGCCTGGGAGGTCAAGGCTGCAGTGAGCTGTGATCATGGCACTGCACTCCAGCCTGGGCGACAGAGTAAGAAAAAAGAGTAATAATAGCCATCCTAATGCATTTGGGGTAGTATCTCTTTGTGACACATCATACACAGAAATGAACAGTAATGCACCATTTTCTTATTGCCCTTGCCCAAACTGGTTTTCTATCTTTACAAGTATGGCTCACATGGATATTTTATTTGGCTTTTAAAAAAATTATAGTAAAGCTGAACATATTTTCAAAAATTTCCTGTTACTTATTCATTAAATATTTATTGAGTACCTACTATGTGCCAACCACTGGAGCAGGTATTAGGTATACAGTGGAAATGAAACAAAACAGGTTCCTCCATCATGGAACCAAAGGTCTACTGAAGTGTGTTCCATATGTTACAGTGTAGAAGATTCATCATCCCCAGAAAATCTTGAGTGAGAACACCTAGAAAGCAGCCTAGGAATCAAAGTCTTGTGTGTGTCTTTTTAAAAGTATTTCAAGAATCACTTCTAGCAATTCTTACATAAATGTAAGGATAAGAATAACTGTTAAAGCAAAATCTTTACTGGACATTTATGTTTCTCCTTTTGTCAGTTTCCAGTTTTTGCCTTTTGCAATAGAGTACTGGCATTAGTACTTATTGTATATGCTAAAAGTATTTGTTCCCTTTTTTTAACTTCACTTTTGATTTCATGACTTCTAACATATCCAAGTTTTCAATCTGCATAAGTATGTCAAGTTTTTCCTTTATATTTGTATCTGTTTTATTATGCTTAGAAAGGAAAACCACCAAAATCTTTAAAAATCCTAGGAGGCAGTTGACTTTTTATGGTTTCCACTGAAGTAGTTTATCTGTAATACCTTTCTGTGTATTGTATGATCCAGTGATTGAACGTTTTTCTAAATGGATACTAAACAGCCAAGTTTATATTTATTGAATCCTAAATTTTTCCAACTGATATTCACATACACAAGTCTATTTCTGAACTGCATAGTCTGTTCCATAGAAATAATTTTCTCTTCCTATGAAACTACTATACTATTTTAAATAATGAAGTTTAACAGTGTATTCTGATGCTAGGAAAGGGAATATTTTTCATTTTTTCTTTTTGTTCAAGCTTTTCCTAACTACTTTTACCCATCTGATACCTAAAGTTTCAGATGAACTTTAGAATACATCTGTTAAAGAAAATACTCTTGGCATTTTGATTAGAACTGTATTAAATTTGTAAGTTATTTTGAAGAGAATGAAATCTTTATAATACTGTATCTTTCATTCAATAAATATTCTATGTTGCTCTAAATAGTCTTAGAAAATAGAAAACTAAACTCTTCTTTTATGACATTCAATAAAGTTTCCTAACTTAATTCATTGGGTTCACTTCTAAGTACTTTACAGTTTTGTTTCTATTGTAAATGAGTTGTTTTCTCTACTTCATTTTGCAGTAGTAATTGCTGAAGCATAGGGGAAAAAATTCCCAATTCTCTAGAATTTTGGATTATTTATTTTTGGTAAACAACTGTTTCATTTCTTCTTTTATGATACCACTTTTTTTCATTGTCTGCTGCAATACTCAGAACCTCCCAAGCAACATTAAACAACAGTGATCATGAGGCATTACTCTCTTATTCCTAACATTAATGGGATCCTGGAAATGTTTAGTCATTAAATGTGATGTTTACTGCTGGTTTCTAATATTCTTTTTCAAATAAACAATTTCTATTTTTAGTTTGCTATGAGTTTGTATAAAGAATGATGTTGAGTACTGTGAAAGCTTCTTCAACATTTACTAAGGTCCAATGTATATGTAACAGTACTTCAGTTGATTCTCACACATTTTCTGTTAAAGAAGACTGTAAGTTAGACTCCTAATATGTCTACTTATATGACCTCAAGGAAGTTATTTAATTGCCCCATGCCTCAGTTTCCCAACCAGTAAAATGTAAAATGGGGAAAAGTAACAATACCTATTTCATAGGATTTGTTGTAATAATGGGCCAATATATGTAAATCGCCTCATGCAGTGCAAGACATATTAATTGCTCAATGTTAGCTATTCTTATTTCTTTATTCTGACAAATAACCATATAACCTGAAATTCATTATAAATTTATATTCTCCTTTACCATCTTTGTGGCTGTTGTTGGTTTATATCTATTTTGTTTTTTACTTCATTGGCTTTACCCAAAGTTCCTGATTTTATAGGAAATAGAATATTGTTAACTATGATGTTGTTACTGATACGAATAAAGATTATATCCTCCATTTCCTTTTCTCTTCTTTTCTTTTGAGATGGAGTTTCGCTCTTGTTACCCAGGCTGGAGTGCAATGGTGCAATCTCGGCTCACCGCAACCTCCAACTCCTGGGTTCAGGCAATTCTCCTGCCTCAGCCTCCTGAGTAGCTGGGACCACAGGCACGCGCCACCATGCCCAGCCTATTTGTGTAATTTTAGTAGAGACGGGGTTTCACCATGTTGACCAGGATGGTCTCGATCTCTTGACCTCGTGATCCACCCACCTTGGCCTCCCAAAATGCTGGGATTACAGGCTTGAGCCACCGCGCCCGGCCCCTTTTCATTTTTAAAGATTCATTTTTTCTGGAAATATAGGTTGAATTTTATAAAATTCTTTTGATTTTCATATAACTGGATTTCTAGCATAAAACCTATTTGTAGAAGATAATACTACATATTTTTTAAATATTATACTTTTAAATTTGCTAACTTTTCATTTAAGCTTATTTGTACATAAGCTTACAAGTGAGTCAAAACTTTTTGATGATGTTGTTGCTAGGTTTCACTACAAGGGTTACAATGGTTTCACAACTTTCCCTGTAAAGTTATTTGCCAGGGCCTGTCATAATTTTCTGTTTTGGAAACAAATACACTCTTGTATGACCATAAATAATGTATGATACCTCATCACTGAGAGCTATTCATCTATGTTTAAAGGCATCTTGTCTTATAAGGTCAGATACCTCAAAGTTTCTGATGATAATGAAAGTAAGAACATGACTCATGCACATTAAGATTAAAAATTCTGGCCAGGCACAGTGGCTCACACCTGTAATCCTAGCACTTGGGAGGCGGAGGTGGGCGGATCACCTGAGGTCGGGAGTTCATTACCAGCCTTGCCAACATGGAGAAAAACCCTTCTCTACTAAAAATACAAAATTAGGTGGGTGTGGTGGCACATGCTTGTAATCCCAGCCACTCTGGAGGCTGAGGCAGGAGAATCGCTTGAACCTGGGAGGTGGAGGTTGCAGTTAGTGGAGATCCCGCCATTGCACTCCAGCTTGGGCAAAAGAGCAAAACTCCATCTCAAAAAAAAGAAGAAAAAAAAATTCTACGGCAAAGGAAAAAACCTAAACAGTCTTACCTCACTAAGTTCATGCTGCCTTTGCATCTTCTTTTCAAAAGTAGACTTCATTTGTGTAAGTAATTCATACTAAAAGAGAAAATGAAAAGGATGTTTTATTCTGTTTTTAAATTATATAAATCTCTTCAAAATGATCACTAACTCACCTTATCTAAAACAGTTTGCCTTTTGGCTTCCAAGCTGGGCTCCAAAAGGAGATTTTTTCCTGTAAGATAAATCTCCAGTTTACTTCTAGGTAAAAACCAGATTTTTTTCAGAAAATTTGAGCTGAGAAGAGGGAAGACATACTTGCTAGTTCCTCAATACTTTTTACTAAGTCATCTTTGTCAGTAATAATTTGTTTTAGTTGAGGCAAAGTCAGAAACTGTTCTAGTAATACCTCCTCTTGTTCATTCATATCTGTGAGTTGTGACACACTAGAAACACAAAAGAAAAAAAGTTAATAAATATCATATATCAACTTTTTCTCCATGACAACTATTTATAATTTTTTTGCTTTATTTAGTTGACAGGGTTTAAATAATTTTTACATATACACATTAAGGCAGCCAATTTTAACCTTAAAATCATGTAAAACATCAACCACAATGGAACATAAAGCAGTCTGTAACAGATTCTCAAGAGAATCTGTAAAAGTAAATTCTAGTCCAATGGATTTATCAATATATCTACTTTTTTTAAAAATCACAACTGTGGAGAAGTGTTCATAGTTATAAAGTGGCCTGAAATTAAAGACAAAGTAACTTAACTCAAGTAAAGAAAAACGTACGAAACTAGGGTTCTCCCTTATTCAGCTTAGGTTTCTTAAAATAAGAGAGCAGTACGTAGTTAAGTATTTTTTCTTGTTCTAAATTCTGTTTAACTTAATTGCTTTAGAATAACACTTATTTCTTAAATTTCTCTGATAGGAAGCAGGCTGATATGTAAAATTTAAGCTATTTATTTCTTCCAAGCATAATGTTGAACATACTAGTACTACACTAAATTGAGAGAAGTAAAAGTCCACAGATAAGCTAGAAGAATTTCTTCTTAGTCATTTCATTGTATGTACTAATGGGAGGGAAACAGAACTGGAAAGAGGCCAGAGGAGTTACTGTAACATTTTGGCTTGTGAAAAACTTTTATGCAAAAACTGTTCTATCTAGTCAGCTTTAGACCAGTTCAGGGCCTTATTCCAAGGATATGTTGTTGGCCAAAATGTAGCCAGTAAAATCTCCCAAGACTCTAAAAGATAAATAGTCTCTGCTAGTATATACTGCCAGTTATTGTAGGACCAGTAAGAAAGGGTGCATAAACAGTCACAACAACTCTGCTTTAACCTCTGGGCTCATTTAGCTTACAGATGTGTGGCTCTCACAGTAAAGAATTATAGATATGTTTCTGTGTATATATGTGTGTGTACATATATATATATTCATAAAATATTTAAAGAAAAGAAATAATGGAGGGCTAAACCAAGAACAAAAATGGATATCTGTAGGGTGAGAAAACTAGGTAGAAGGAATATGGATGGAAGCAAATCTTATTTTTGACTATGGAGCCATAGAAAAATGTTGGATAATTTGAAGATAATTAAAGAAAAGGGAAAAAAAGCAGTCTTTAAAATTCAAAGAAAATTGACTGCTGTAAAAATAAATAAACCTGTTTTTTCTAAATTATATAAACACCCAGAGAAAAATTATTTGAAGAGATTAAAAAACAATAACAAAAGTATATTCTGGCATGTCATATACCAAAGACAACAGAACTGTAAAAAAACAAAAACAGGCTGGGTGCAATGGCTCACACCTGTAATCCCAGCATTTTGGGAAGCTGAGGCAGGCGGATCACGAGGTCAGGAGATCAAGACCATCCTGGCCGACATGGTGAAATCCTGTCTCTAGTAAAAATAAAAAAATTAGCCGGGCATGGCGGTGTGCACCTGTAGTCCCAGCTACTCGGGAGGCTTGAGGCAAAAGAATTGCTTGAACCTGTGAGGCAGAGGCTGCAGTGAGCCAAGATTGTGCCACTGCACTACAGCCTAGGTGACAGAGCGAGACTCCATCTAAAAAAAAGAAACCTACAAAATCAAAAATTTAACCTGCATTCAATAATCTTAGTAACAATACTGGTATTGTTGTTATGGAAAAGAACAAGTGCCCTTGAGAGAAATGGCCAACTGTAGGTCTAGAAGAAGAAATGTTCATGATAAGCCCACAGCATCTTTACTTTGTCAGAAATTATACAGAAGACAAGTTGAGTTTCTCACCCATCAGAATAACTTCTGGAAATGGATACTACATCAACTCATTATTGAGAAAGTTGATACTATAAGGGGAAATATTAAGCATTTTTCTTGTTCCTGTATGAGATGTATTTCAGTGTAACTAAATATGTAGTTGATTAAGGCAAGTTCTTCATATAGTAATTCTGGTTAATAAATTCTGGTGGTAATGATAAATCAGAAAATCATATTTACAACCACTACTGAGTTAATGATGGTCAATGATTTCAGGTGCTTTAATCTGATATAATCTTAGTGTCACTAAGAAAAAGGGCAACCAAATCTCACTGCTGCTTTATGCGATGTAATAGGAAGCATACACTAATTATGACATAAGTATTCGCAAAAGAATTTAACCTTGTCTACTTCTAGCTACCACCAGCATAAACTATGGGAAATAGGGAAACATCTTCAATGGTACCACAAGGAGGCACTAAGGAAAAAATAGGACCTGGAAGATTTTATAGGACAAATAACCAATTTGATAAATACACACTATGTATGATATATATGTATGCATGTATGTACATGTATTTATTCCCATATTTATGTGTATGTATATGTCTAAGTGTGTGTGTGTGTGTGTGTGTGTGTGTGTGTGTGTGTGTAAAAGAGAAAGGTTGTAGAGAAATGGTTCATGATGAAAGGCAACTTAAGAGATCCACCATACAAATGCAATAGGTGAAACTTGTTTTGAATCTTGACTCAAACAAACTACCAACAAAAAGATTAATTAGTAAGACACTGAAGAAATAAGGTAATATTAAAGAATTATCATTAATTTTGTTAGGTATGATGATGAGGGTGATTGTGGTTATAGTTAAAAAAAGGAAAGAAAATCCTTACCTGGTACAGAAATTTACTGAAGAACTGATGGGTAAAAAGGATGTATTATCTGCTATTTGCTTTAAAATAACTGTGACTCATACCTACAGCCCTCCAAGAAGGCTGGATGGAAGGAGGCATGAAGCGCAGTGAGCAAAAGGGTTCATAGCTGTTGATGCCACATGGTGGATACATGGAGGCTCATCATACTAGTTTCTTCACCTTTTTTTATATTTTTGATGTTTTCATAACAATTACACATTTAAAAAAATTTAAAAGCAAAAAAGATAACCTGATTAAATGAAAACTTCCTTATGGGGTTATTGTGAGCATTACAATGCATATTAACCTTTAACAAGCATGCAGTATACTGTAAATATTAATTTATTATTACAGAAGATAATAAATCACTATTCCTCAAAATGACTATAAAACATTGATGCAAATAAAGTTAAACGCTTTTTATTAACTATAGGATTTCTCATGGGTACCTGGCTGTACATCTTTGATGAGATATATCCTAAAGACAAAAAGAACTGCAAAAAAAAAAAAAAAAAAAAAAGTTTAACTTCATTCAGTAGTCTTAGTAATAAGAGCCTTATCAGTATCACGAACTCTCAGTGAGGGTATAAAGGATGCAATGCTTCCCAAAACTGAATGGCCAAAAACCATTTTCTGCATGAAGCATCTTAGAGAAGCAAAGTTCCATGAAAAACTTGCACCTTAAATTTGATTATAAACTTTTCTGCTATAAATTTGAATAAAAGTTTGGCTCTGTAAAAACACCCAATACTTTATGATAACTTTATTTCTCTATATGTAAAGTTTATCTCCCAAAGGAACAATGAACGATCTAAAATAGGCCAAGATATATTTTGAAATTATCAGGAATAATGTATTCAAAAATATTTTTCAAAGAATGCATGCCACATGAGAGAAAGGACGTTGTTTGTTATCTTAATAAGTATTGTATCATTATAAAAATCCTATAAAAATCCCTGAGTATGTACTAGTCACTCAATAAATACAACCTATAGGACCCACTGATTTTTTTTTTTTTTTTTTTTTTGAGACGGGAGTTTCGCTCTTGTTACCCAGGCTGGAGTGCAATGGCGCCATCTCAGCTCACCGCAACCTCCGCCTCCTGGGTTCAGGCAATTCTCCTGCCTCAGCCTCCTGAGTAGCTGGGATTACAGGCACGCGCCACCATGCCCAGCTAATTTTCTGTATTTTTAGTAGAGACGGGGTTTCACCATGCTGACCAGGATGGTCTTGATCTCTTGACCTTGTGATCCACCTGCCTCGGCCTCCCAAAGTGCTGGGATTACAGGCTTGAGCCACTGTGCCCGGCCAGGACCTACTGATTTTTAAAACTTTCCCACTATGACAACCATAATACTGTATAGGAAGTGAAGATTTAAAAAAATCAGTTACTTTAATATGGATATGAAATAACGGTCTGGTTTATGCTTACAAATAAAGTAGACAGTGTCACCAACTTTATTCTCCAGGTTTTTTACCTTAGTTCTGAGAGTTCTGGAAATGCATCAGGGACATCTGGCATCTTGTAACCAAAACCATTTTGGCTTGTCTAAAGAAAAGTTTTAAATGATATTATTAAATTTCAGCCTTTTTTTTTTTTTTTTTTTTTACTGCTTTCAACTACTTTAATGTACTATATCCCATGACTGTTTTCATTATCATATTTTCATCTTCACATCTCACATGACCTTAATCTCCCCTTCTTCTTTCAGTCTATCTGTTTTTCAGTGTAGTATTCATAGGATTACTTTTTTTTTTTTTTTTTTTTTGGTGAGGGCCATTTTAGGTACAGAACTGGTAGTTCTCTTTCTTGTCTAAGTGTGTGGCTATAGATTTCATTGGCATACATGAATATGTTTCTCTGAAGTAAAAGGCATTTCATAATAGAAAAGCAATAGTTTAACAACAGTCTGAATAGTTAACATGCCTCAGTTAGATGAGACAGTAGGGGTAGATGAGGAATCGGGTAGCCACTGTTTGAATATATATGACTTTTTATCCTTGAGGACCCTTGAAAACTCCTCTTGTAATTTTGTTTATACTGCTAATAGTAATCTGTTCCTAACATTTATTAACACAATAAAATGAAAAGTTTTGGAAAAACAAAGTCCACTTGAGTTTATATATTCTAAATGATTATAAACTCTGAAACCAGTAATATTGGATATAGTATGGTTTTATAATTGAGTATTACACTATGGGTGATATTCACTGAGGGTTATAATTCAGTTTCTTTTTGCCCCTTTAAATGTTTTATGCCCAAAGTATTAATCTCTCCCTCAGTAACATTCCACATAGCAACAGTTATCAGCTTAAGAACATACAAGATTTTAAACCAATGGAACACTTGAAGCCCTCAGCATACTTCAGCAGACCCATCAAAATGTGACACGTGCTGCTCCCACATGATCATTTTTTTGCCTTTGCCCACACCTTACATGGCAGCCTGACAGATCTATAGGCAGCTTCACAAAAATGCCATCTGGTTTATACCTCAATGCCTTTGACAATGTTACTGGCTCTCACATATCCCCTTGTTATTCTGGCAAATTAATAACAATCTTTCAAACTCTGGCCTCAAGCATAAATGCTTGCATTTGCTTAGTTGCGTCATTTTTACTGAGCACCTACTATATTTATTATGCACTGCTTGAGGCACTAAGAAAGTGGTGGAAAAAAAAACAGAATCACAGTTTTTGTAAAGGCAACCTACTAGTTCTACCTTGGTCCCTAGGAGCACTGACCATTCCCTTAACTGTGTCTATCAGAACTCTAGCTGTCTATTCTACTCCACCAGAACTAGAAGCTCCATATTTTAAATTATTATTTGTTGGTCATCTTTCTGAGTTTGTTACTTGAATTAAAAAATGTGATTTAGTATTTTTTTATTTTGTGTCTAACTTAGTGGCTGGTACGTGGAGGCATGTATGTGTGTTGACTGAATAAATGTTTCAGTGGCACAAAATGTAGATAACTGACAATACCAACCGGTATTGAGGCATCCATTGCAGGAACAGGTAATGGCAGGTTTGAAAGGATGCCAAATGAAGGAGCAGCCGGCTTGGCTGTGGTATGACTTGTTGAAGAAGAAACCGTGTCAGCAACAGATAAAGAAGTGATACTCCTGTTTGCTTCTTGTGGGGAATATGGAGAAAGAAATGGAAAGCCCTGAGAAGCATAAGGAGGCATCGCACTTGGGTTACTGTATAGGCTGAAGAGAAAAATAGAAGATCATCAGATCAGATTTTGTGAATAAAACATGTCAAATTATTTCAAAATTGTTCTAAACAACAATGGTCGAGCACAATATTGATAAAATATTTTTATGGCAGGTGGTATTTATTAAATTATATGACAGAATTAAATATTATATAAAGTGATAAAATATAACACCCCTCCAAAAAAAATAATAATTAGAGAATTGTGGTTTCTACAAAAAAGACGATGAATACTTTAGAAAGCATGCAATTCAACTGATCAGAGTAGAAGTGAATAGACAGGCCATTTTTGAGTTTTCAGCATTCCATTGCTATCAATCAGTATCTCCATAGAGGGAATGGAGAACAATATTTAATCCAAAACATTTATTCAAGTAGAGGCTAATAGCTTTCTCTATATTTGTCAAAATCTGACTAAAAGTCAAGACTGCTTTTCTAGAAAATTTTAAAGAAATATTAAGTATACAGATGAGATTCTAAAATGTTGAAATGTTAAAACCATGCATACATAAACATGCATGTATATTAGAGTCGCACAGCATTATGTACTTGGGATTCAATCAGTGAACAATATACTCAATATTTATTTTTGCAAGCTAACAAATATTTTACACTTAACATTTTTCCTCCTTAGCAAGTTTAAAGACAACTGGGGCATAAAAGCATTAGAGTAATTCAGACCTAGATCCAGACTGAGAATCATCTAAAAACCAATATATGAATAATACAGTGAGTTTATATGGAGCAGGCACTCTCATGTACAGGATAAGGTACTTACAGTTATGTTTTAAATATTAATGCAATACTAACAACTGTTTCCCTTTATACTGAAACATGTTTCAATTTGTAATTTTTTTATGGGAGTACTATTACTTCATTTAATGATATAAATTAAGCTGAGTTAGAAATGTTGTGGGAAGAAAACATTTGTTTTTCTTTTGAAATGTACATGAATGACACTAAAATGTATACGGAAAAATAAGCCAGAGTAGAAAGAAAAACGCCTGAAAAAAGAAGGTATAGAAATATTAGCCCTGTCATAAAGCAAAACAAATTATAAAACCCTAATAATAAAACAAAATTTAACGCCTAAGACCACTAAATGAACAGGTTGATCAATAGAACTAGATATAAAATCCAGAAAAAGCCCAAACATATATAGGAATTGGGATATAATAAAGATAGAATCTCAAATAAATAAAGATAGAGCAACCAAAAAATAGTATTGAGACATCTGGGGAAAAAAAGTTGGAGCCGGATCTTCATTTTAACACAGCATAACAATTTAATGGATTAAAGTTTAAATTTTTTAAAAGAGCCTCGAACAGTAAGACATCACCAAGAAATTATAACATTGGGGTAGGAAAGGACTTTTTATAATCCCAAATTCAGAAGCCTTTACAGAAAATGACAAATCTGACATTTAAAAAATCTACATGACAAAGCCCTTTATAAGACAAATAACAAATTTGGGGGGAAACTTCTAACACAGACAGAGGGATAATTTCTCTAACTACATAAAGAATTCCTTATAGTAGAATGATAAATCATTCTACTACAAGGACACGTGCACACGAATGTTCATTGCAGCACTGTTTACAATAGCAAAGACCTGGAACCAACCCAAATGCCCAACGATGATAGACTGGATAGGGAAAATGTGCTACATATACACCATGGAATATTACACAGCCATCAAAAACGAAGAGTTCACGTCCTTTGTAGGGACATGGATGAACCTGGAAACCATCATTCTCAGCAAACTGACACAAGAGCAGAAAATCAAACACCGCATATTCTCACTCATAGGTGGATGTTGAACAATGAGAACACATGGACACAGGGAGGGGAGCACTACACACTGGGGTCCGCTGGGGGGAAATGGGGAAGGGACGGCGGGGTGGGGAGGTGGGAAGAGATAGCATGGGGAGAAATGACAGATACAGGAGAGGGGACGGAAGGCAGAAAACCACACTGCCATGTGTGTACCTATGCAACAATCTTGCATGTTCTTCACATGTACCCCCAAACCTAAAATGTAATAAAATATATATATATATATATATATATATATATATAAAGAATTCCTACAAACTGACAAAAAACCACGAGCAAAAGAGACTAGGATAGTATATACATGTTACAGAAAAGGAAAACAAAAAATATCTCAAGTACAGGAAAAGATGTTCAATTTAGCTATTAATAGTAAGATAAATAAAACTAAAATTATACTAACACATTCTTTCCTGCCTATCAACTGGCAAAGATCCACTTCATAACATACTATTTTGGCAAAGGGCATGGGGAAATACATATTGTATAGAAAGAGAAACTGGTACAAACTACTCTGGAGGGTAATTTTGCAGTATTTATCAAAACTACAAATGTGCATTACAATTCTAGAATTTATCCAACAAATAAGCTCACATTTGGGTAAAATATTATTTTAAAGATTATTTAGTTGAGCAGCCCTGAGGGCAATGAAGAAGGATGGGCTTTTCAGGGAAGATTAGAGAAAATGAAAATATCTATCAGTCTCGTTAAAGGAATTATAATACATCCATGAAACCAATACTTCATAGTCATAAGGAATAATGAGGAAGTGCCTTAGTATTAACATGAAAAACTTTCCAAAACCTTATCATTTAGTGGGAACGAAAAAAAAAAAAAAAAAAAAAAAGCAAGGACATAATATGTTACCATTTATATAAAAAAGGAGGAGAATATAATACTACAAATATTTTCTTATAGATTAATAAAATAGCTCAGGAATTATATATACACAAACCCAAACAAATAACTTTTAGATGAAAATGAAAAAAACTAAGCTGCAAGGGAAAAAGAAGTGGCACAGAGATTTTCACTCTATACTCCTTTATACTTTTTGAATTTTGAGCCAGGTGAATATGTGACCTACACAAAAATTAAGTTTTCTAATTGGTTTGTTCATTTAAAAGGATGGCTCATCTATATCTTAAAACTACTTTAATCTAAAGAAATTAGTGTTACGTATGTGAACTAACCTAGAAACAATATAACCAACATGAGAGAGTATTTGTAATATCCTTGAATTCAAGTCACTAATTCTGAACCAGTCTGCTTTATTTTGAACTCAGTAGCAGGTACAACCCACAAAATAAGAAATGCATCAAACTTGATTTTTAATAACGTGTACTATATCCTGGAACTTATCTGAAATGAAAACAAGTAAACTTGTCAGTAAGAAATGCATCAGACTTGATTTTTAATAATGTGTGCTATATCCTGGAACTTACCTGAAATGAAAACAAGTAAACTTGTCAGTTTGTATTTTCAAATAAGGTAAATGAGTTTATATCCAATTCTATCACTATATAAGATAGGAAATATGATTTTTTAATACACTTTTTATCCAAAAATAAAAACTCAGGACTCTAGAACATAGATGACAGAAAGACAAAGATGAGTGGGAGAGGGCTGAGGTACCTGGAAGTGGAATGCTGCTACGATGACAATGACAATAACAACAACCTAAAATGTGGGAGCAGCTTTGGGACCAAGCAGAGGTATAGGCTGGAAGTCCCCTTAGAAGAGTATGAAGGACTAATGGGCCTCAAAGAGGCTGTTAGGAGGAGCCTGGTGGGCCTTTGAGCAGATGATCATTGGAAGAACTTTGTGTTAGTGGAAAGTTTACCAACACTGTTGCCTGTAATAATATGGAAAATAGTAAATGTACCTACTGAATTGCATGATCTAGCTAAGGAGATTTCCAGGCAGTGCTGAAGGTGTCACCTAATTTCTAGTGGGCTGTAGTAAAACGTGAGAGGAGAGAGAGAAGTTAAAGAATTGCGAAACATAAAAGAGATTCCTGGATTTGAAAATAAAAATATCTCTCATTCCTAGCTTCCCTAAGATTCTCAAATTAAGAAACAAATTAAGTCAAACCCAGCATGGGCTAGAAGTTCCTTTGTTAACATCTCTTAAAGAACCAAGATGGAGCCTGAGATAACTGTCTAATAAGAATAACAGACATTTAGGGCTTCAAATAATCTTAAGGTCAGTGTCTCTCAGCAGCCTCAATGGAAGCCCAACAGCTTATTTGGCAGAGCTTTGTGGGTGCTGCTTTTAATGAAATGAATGAAAATACTGATTTGGTCTCCTTGGTTTCAAAGAACATCTTTATTTCTGCCTTCATTTCATTGTTTATCCACAACATTCAAAAGTCAGTTGTTGAGTTTCCATGAAACTGTGCGGTTCTGAGTTAGTTTCTGCATTCTGAGTTCTAACTTGATTGCATTGTGGTCTGAGAGATTGTTATGATTTCCATTCTTACGCAATTGCTGAGGAGTGATTTACTTCCAATTATGTGGTCAATTTTAGAGTAGATGTGATGTGGTGCTCAGAAGAATGTATGTATATTCTGTGGATTTTGGGTGGAGAGTTCTGTAAATGTCTATTAGGTTTGCTTCGTCCAAGTCTGAGTTCAAGTCCTGGATAGGCTTGTTAGTTTTCTGTCTTGATCTGTCTAATATCGACAGTGGAGTGTTAAAGTCTCCCACTATTACTGTGTGGGAGTCTAAGTCTCTTTGTAAGTCCTTAAGAACTTGCTTTATGTATCTGGGTGCTACTGTATTGGGTGCATATATATTTAGGATTGTTAGCTCTTCTTGTTGCATTGATCCTTTTACCATTATGCAACGTCCTTCTCTCTTTTGATCTTTGTTGGTTTCAAGGAGCAAGATCAAAAAAACTCAAAAGCTATCAGAAGACAAGAAATAAATAAGATAAGAGCAGAACTGAAGGAAATAGAGACACAAAAAACCCTTAAAAAAAAATCAATATATCCAGTAGCTGGTTTTTTGAAAAGATCAACAAAATAGACAGACCACTAGCCAGATTAATAAAAAAGAAAAGAGAGAATAATCAAATAGGTGCAATAAAAAATGATAAAAGGGATATCACCACAGATTCCATAGAAATACAAACCACCATCAGAGATTACTACAAACAATTC